ATGGAACCGGGATGTAACCTTGGGGATGAGCGCTGGGGCTGGTCTGAGGACGACCCTGTCGTTGTAGAATGTACATAAATCTGTGTGTACCGACAAAGCTCTCAGCCCCAAACCTACGCGCTGAAAAGATCCCCACTAAGAAATTGTTTACAGAGTAATGTCTTTCATGGGACATGATGCCATTGGTTCAAATGATGCCATTGGTTCAAATGGCTCCTTGCATAGTGCTCATAGCACTGCATTTAAGTTCCATGCGGAGAACCTGTGTACCTGTGGAGGGTTGAGGAGGGAGGCCCCCCTCTAAAACCACCATATGTGCGGGTGATGGGGAAAATACCTACCTTTCCTAGCCCCTTCCTAGCCTTAGAGAACTAGTACTCAACCCTTTCCTCGGACCCTGTTGGAGAAAACCATCCCCAACCTGTGCCCGCTTCGGTTCCAACCCCTGCACTCCACACCAGTTAGAAGATGTTTGTCAAGATCTGTCATATTTGGTCATAGGAGATTTTCTGGATGCCAAGAGTATGGAAACCACCTCTGTCTCATATCCCAGAGCTGCTCACTGTCTCCTCTCAACCTCCATGCTGCGAGTTGTAGCATGTCCAGTCGCAGATGAATGGTCATCTCCTGAGATAGAAGGTCCCGTCTGAGAGGCAGCCGCCATAGATCCCTTCTGGAGAGGCTCATGAGGTCCTGGAACCACGCCCACTGTGGCCAGAAGGGTGCTATCAGGATAACATCTGCTCTTTAATCTATTGCCTGCTGTACCACTCTGGGAATTAGAGTTAGGAGCGGGGAGGCATAGAGTTCTTGGCCATGCTAGGAACAGGGCGTCTGTTCCTAGTGCCCCTTTCATGTCTCAACGTGAAACGATCCACCTCTGCCTTCCGAATCTTCACTGATCTGTTGGAAGGCGGCCCTCTGTTAACACATTTCTCTTCCTGCCATATGTGTGTCCTTTAAGGACAGCGCATACTCTCTGCCCATTGCATCTCTTGCATCGCTTCCTGGTGTAGCCGTTGGGATTGCATGTCTCCCTACCTGTTAATATAGACTTTCGCCATCATGTTATCCATTTGAATCAGAACATGACTGCCTACCAGTTGCGTCTGGAGGTGAGCCAGGGTCAACTTTATGGCCCTACGTTCCAGGAAGTTGATGCTCTTGGATGTTTCCGACTTCGACCAGGTGTCTTGACCATGTGTCCCATGGAATGCGCTCCCCAGCCAAAGAGACTTACATCTGTCATGAGCACAGTCCTCTGGGGTTCCCTTAGAAGTATCCCTTCTATGAACCAAGTCGGAACTAGCCACTACTGTCCACACACAGTGGTAACTCTATCTACTTGACTATCTTTTAGTCTATTTCCTTCTGGTAGTGAAGAAAGCGCTGCAGGGGTCTCGTATGAACTCTAGGCCACGGTAGTAGGCCTTGGCACGACACCATCATGCCCAGTAGACATGCTAGGGTCATCACCTCCGGTGTCTAAATATTCAGGACCTGATGTAAGATAAGTGAGAAATTTTAATAACCTCTCCTGGAACAGAAGAACCCTGGCGTGTCTATCTTCCCTCCCAAGTGTGTAATTACTTGAGTCGGCTCCAGGGTCCCCTTCTCCCTGTTAATAGCACAACCGTGTCCCTGTAGTACCTGGATTGTAAGGTCCAAGTGTAGGCTTGCTGGTGACTGGACTCTGCCTGGATCAGGACGTTTTCCAAGTAAGGAAAACAGGACCACTCCTCTCAGACTTAGAAAGGCCACTAGTGTCCCCAGGACCTTGGAGAAGATCCGAGGCGGGGACTTGAGTCCAGAGGGCGAGGCTCAATATCGGAAATGTTTGCTGTGATATGCAAACCTTAGAAATTTCCTGTGATCATCCCTTGTCGGGATGTGCAGATAGACTTCATCCAGGTGTATGGAGACCATAAAGTCCCCTGCATGTATGGAGGAAAAAGATGGACCTCAACATCTCCATCTTGAACTTTCGTGATTGCACATGTTTGTTGAGCCACTTTAAGTTCGAGATGGCCCTACTGTTCCTGTTCTTCTTGGGGATCGTAAAGGGATGGAATAAATTCCTAGCGACCTCTCTGTCTCAGGCACCATCTCTATCGCTCCAATGTCCAACAGATGTTAGATGGCCTGTAACATCATCTTGTGATTTTTCCTGGTGATCTTTCCCTTGGGATCTACAGTCTGGTGTCACTGCCCAGAGAAAGCTGTACTCTTGTGTCTATATCTTCCATTGTCTTGGCCTAGTTATGCCGAAGTTCCCTTCTTGGGTCCTTTAATACCCTGTGAGGGCGAATGAACTATTGTCTCTAGACTTGTTATGCTGTTTGACGTTTGTTGTTTATCATCACGACTGAGGTCTCAAAAGGACTGTGGTCTCCTTCTAGATTTCATATCCTTCTTCTTTGACGGTAGCAGCTGTGACTTGTCTTTGTCTTTCACCAAGTAACGTTCCAGGCCTGCTCTGAAAAATTTAACTCCCTTGAGAGATACCACTGCCACCTTGGCCCTTGTTGTTGGATCTGC